TCATGTGTTCTCGGTAAGTTCGTGCAGAAGTTAGGAGTTCCATTCCCGTCGGGGGGGAAGTTATTTGTCTGTCTACTGAGGGACTGTCTCCCTCTAAGCCTGGGCGGGCGATGATGCAACCCGTGTTTCTGCTTGTGGAAATTGTGTTAAGGGGTGTGTAATGGGTCACTTAAATGTCCCAACAGATCTGTTCTGACACGATAGTTGGCGGGACATTTCAGGAACATATGGTCTATTGCCTGGCCCTGAGTAACTCCTTGTGTGATGGTTTGTCTGTTTATTTATGTAGGTATCAGGGATGTTCTTTTGCCAGCTTTTTTTTCTGTTATTTCTGTCACTTTCACTTAAAGAATCGTCATTCGCCTCAGTATTCGTTTTCTGTTTAGCCCCATGTAAGTTGTGTCTAGTAATTGTCGTTTTGTAAGTTGTGCTTAGTAATTGTCATTTTGTTTGCAAATAAAACTTTGTAAATTTTTAGCTGTTCTTACAAAAAACCCATGGCTTATCTCACCTCCTTCATTTCTTTGTATGTTACTCTCCAGCAACACTGCTAACTTCTGCAATTATGTATAATCTATTTATGCTGCTCTTGCTGTAAAACCCTTATTCAAATAAAACCAAACTTTAAAAAGTTTCTGTCAATCTTGGGACTTCCTGGCACTTTATGGTCGTTTTTGTGTCATCGTGCGTAAGTTTACTCACACAAACAGGCAAACACATACATGCACTCTCAAATCCATCAATTCTGTTGTGTGTTCTACTACACCCTGTCCGTCCCCTCCCCTACTCCCTCACGTCCCCTTCTCCTCCTGGTTGGTGGGTGCTCTGGTGTGGTTTGCTTCTTTCCTGTCAAACGTCTATCATCCTTATTTCTCCTTCTTTTTTGTGTTTGTTACTCTCTTGTAGCACCTCTATTCTTCTGGCGCTCATATGACCTTATGCAGTTGCGAGTGCCGTAAAACCTCTATAAAACTAACCAATCCTACCCCCTCTACCCTCCCCTCACCCCCAATCCACAGAGCTGCGAGGCAGCGGGTGGCAGCTGTAGCACCACCATCGAGGGCTACTACGTGCTGACGCTGGTGTGCACCGTGCTGGGCGTGCTGTGGCTGCGGCTGAAATCCTCACGTTTACGACAGCTGGGCGAGTGCGACGAGCAGGCGTGGAAGTACAAGACCTTGGCAGGGGGAGCTAACTCCTCTTGACTTATGCTCTCGGTATAGGATACACAATACAATGTTGTTGTCATGTTTCTGAGTTCAGTCTTAATTTTAACCCTCTGCTGACGTAAGATTCTCTAGCTGCCCACACTGCAGGTACTGTTGGCAGATACTGTCTAGCACACACACTGCGATATCGATGCTGAGTGGAAAACTTTCATTTTGTATGAATGTCACTATGTATCTGTTTGAAATACACAGAATAATATATACATTTACATATATATAAGAAAAAAAAATCAGTTACCTGAAAAGCTGTCCGCTATGTGTATGTTCATTGTGTGCGTGTTTTCGCTGTGTGTGTGTTGGCTGCGTGTATGTTTTCGCTGTGTGCGTGTTGCATTCGCTGTGTGTGTGCCAGACTGTAATATTATTGTCCTGCAGGTGGTTGGGGTATGTTGGCTTGGAAAGGGTGAGCTGCGGTTCCTGTTTTAAAGCTTGCACAATCGCAAGGAAAGCTGATTATTTTCTTGACTGCAGAAGTGTTTGAGTCTGTTAGCCAGTGGGGGGTGGGATGGGCAGGGATGGGGGGGGGGGGACATTCCCTGCCTGGCTTGATGTGTGAGTCTGTGTTAGCCAGTGGGGGCTTGGGGGGGGGGGGGGGTTCTGTCTGCCTCAAAGTGGGGAACTGCAGGGGTGGGGCTTTTCAATTTTGTTATTTAAGCATTTGTGTTAATTTAAGGAATTAACATGTTGATTCAAGTAATTAATGTGTTATTTTAATTAATTAAAGTGTTTGAACTAATGTGTTAATTTACTGAAATAATGTGTTAATTTAATGAATTTGTATGTTCAGTTAATGAATTAATGTGTTAATTTACTGAATTAATGTGTTAATTTACTGAATTTATATGTTCGTTTTAAAAATTAATTTGTTTATTTTATGAATTAATGTGTTAATTTAATGAATCAATTTATAATGAATTTGAGTGCTTTTTATTAGCATGTATGGTTCAGACTGGGTACAGTTCTTGAATACCTGAAGAAGTTTTGACCCTTGTCCCTGTGCTGACCTGGCGACCTATGGCAATCTTTGTTCGCTTGGCGGTCCCTCCTCCCTCGACTTTTAAGACGTGTTTGTTTTGTGGGCATGTGTTTTTAAAAACTGACTTGCTTTGTTTGTTTTATCAGTTGTTTTTAGTGGGTGGTTGGAGGGGGCCACAAAGGGGTCCTGTTTCTTTACTGGATCCATCTCTCTGTGTCTTCCTGTTTTGCTTTTCCCCAGCACTAAAGGACCGTTGTTGTGTCCTCGTTGTTCTCTACCAAAACAAATCATCAGCTGTTCTTGAAGAGTTGTTGCCATTTTGTTTGTTTCGGTTGGTACATTTGCCTGTGAAATGTTCCGTTATTTCTGCTAGTAGAGACAGGTCTTGTGTTCTTTGTACAGTACCATACAGTGGTAGACTTTCACTCTGCTAGTGGACACAGGTCTTGTGTTTCTTGGTACAGCACCGTACAACGGTAGATGTACACTTTGCTAATGGAGACAGGTCTTGTGTTCTTGGTATATTACAGTACAACGGTAGATGTACACTTTGCTGGTTGAGACAGGTCTTTTGTTCTTGGTACAGTATCGTACAGCCGTAGACGTACACTCTGCGAGTAAAGACAGGTCATGTGTTCTCGGTAAGTTCGTGCAGAAGTTAGGAGTTCCATTCCCGTCGGGGGGGAAGTTATTTGTCTGTCTACTGAGGGACTGTCTCCCTCTCAGCCTGGGCTGGCGATGATGCAACCCGTGTTTCTGCTTGTGGAAATTGTGTTAAGGGGTGTGTAAATCATGGGTCACATTCAGAGTCATGCCTTTCCTCTTTTGTGATTTTTGTATTGTGTGTTGTGTGTGCCATTATTTATTTATTGTCATCGTAAGTGCAAGTAATCAGATGGGAGGCTTTTTGTGATGTGTACTGTTAAGGGCTAAAAGTTATTTCAGTATCTATGTATACTGACTTACGGCTGAAACTTGAATGGGACAGAGTGCTACGTAAATTCATTTTATTGTTATTATTACTATTACTATTATTATTTTTATTATTATTAATATTATTGCTGCACTGGAGTCTGCTTAAATTTGAATCTGCAGGACCACCGGATTTTCTTTTGTTTAATGGGGTTTCTGGTTCGTTACATGTAGTAGTTCACAGAGGGTGTTCAAATAGAAGAAACAAAAAACCCAGGGTTTTGTTTTCCCTCTGTTTAACGTTGTTTTCAGATGACCGCTGTTTGGTTTAAGCAGATTTTTGTTGTTTTTTTCATTAGTAGTTTTGAAGTTACTCCTAGCTGTTATTTACCACATGATGTCTCTATGGTCAGTGGGAAGTAGTTTGTGATAGAAGTTAGGCGGGTGTTGATGGAAGAATGAGCTGTGGCTCCTCACTGAAATGTTGGAACAACTTCACCTGGCAAGCTTTTTGTTTGATTCGTTGTCAGATCTGCAAGTTTTTTATATCTTATACTGGAGGACCAGAGGATGGACTTTGTTTTTTTCCCTGCTCTTTTAAATGACGGTTCTTATGACCTTGTGCTACTCTGTCCTCAAACAAAAGGTCAGTTTTTCTTAGAGAGTTATTGGCATTTTGAATATGCCTGTGCAAGTCAGTCATCAAGCATTAATAAATATGTCATAAAAATGTTGGGCATTATTTGTGCATTTTTTATTTTGATTCCTGAAATGCAACTAATGCTTACACTTACACCACAAAATGATTTGTTGATTTTACTTTTTTACTGAGGATGTTTATCTATTTTGTTTTTATTTGCACAATAACAAAAAAATTTTCGTTCGTGCTCTCTCGGGGAAGACATGTTTTAGTGATGGGTGTGTTTTTTAGTGATAGGCATTTTTTTTTTAGTGATAGACGTGTGTTTGACTTAAGTTTGTAAAATTGTGGCTGACTCACACAGAGTTGCGTGGAACCCAGTTCTAAAATGGACACGAACATTTGTAGTATCAGATCTGTAGTCTCCTTTCTATTTATGGTGTGATTCAATTGTATGATCCTTTTTGAACTGAAAGGGGATTGAAGCAGATGGAAAATCCTCTCC